CACATAAGCTTTAACCTTTCCCCCACCGAAACTCATTTAAGCGTTGCAAGCTTTGCCGGAAACTCCTACTCGAAAGGTATGAAATCGAAATCCAGATTTGTGAGGGATGCCACGAAAGGGGTAAAGGGTTCAATGATGTGTATCACCAATCACCACAACGTCAGTTTGAACAACTCCTGCAAGGTGTGTAAAGATGTAGTTCACCTCCTCCCCTCAACCCCCACCCCTTTTCTCTCCCCGCTCTACCTTCTTGGAGAGCACCAGTCTGCTCTTTCGTTCAATGATTATCTGAATCTCGGCCCATCACAAGAATACATAGAGGTGGGTAAAACGGATCCAAGAACACGAAACCGCCATCAGGACTATCAGTGCTATATATAGCTTTGCGTTTCCACTTCCATAATATGACAAGTGCCCAAGACCCCCCCGCCCGTCCCATTTTTCGTCTGTTACTTACAGTATAAATTATTCTGGGAAATATAGTAGAGCAAGGTGTAAAGGGAGCATACGTTGTTTTTACATATTAAAAACTGCCATACGATAGAAGTATTTTTTTACTAGTAGAGCAACGATTTTGTGAAAAAGCAACCTTTTGTTATTATGTAACATACACGGTGTTGCCCAAGCCACTGAATCTCTTGCATTTGAGATAACAATTTAAAAAACCTCTGGCAGCCCACTGTAAAAGAATAGCGAGTAGGCTTAGCGAAAATTTCTGACATTGCAATAGCGAGTCGTTTTCTCCTATATTATGTCTTTGTTGTAGGCAAGTGTAATCAGTATCAGCTTATGACAGGTACTTCTGTCATCGACGTATTGAACTTCAGTCTTACACATTTACAACTTCGTAAAGTTGTCGTTAGTGTAATGTGTTAGAATGGTTGTCTTAAAGTCTAAAAAACGGCTGAAAAATACCAACACAAAACGAAAAACAAAAATTAAGCAACCCCAAAAGAACAATAACAACACTACCACAACCACCACCACCAAAACTTTCCCTAACACGACTTCTCATAACAGTTGAGACCATTTAAAGTTACAAATAGCCCATAGATGATAAGGACAACAACGCTTTGAGGGTGAGGGTGATTTTAAATCACCACGAATAGGCTATGTCTTTATGACTAGATTCATTCTTCATTTTGTTTCTTTGCCTATCCATCAAGAGATATAACGGAACGCAGAGGAGACATAAACGTATATATATATATATATATATATATATATATATATATATATATATATATATATATATATATATGTGTGTGTGTGTGTGTGTGTGTGTGTGTGTGTGTGTGTGTGTGTGTGTGTGTGTTGTGTGTGTGTGTGCGTGCGCGATGAGTGTTGTGTGTGTATTATATTATTATAAGGACTGTACTATATAGAATCTGAAGTCCATGAAATTCTTCAGAAGCTATGGAAAATATAAAAATAAAATCTTTGGCTTATTCTGGAGCCATGTGCATGTAGTTATGTATAATTAACACCAGCTTTGATGATACCTGGTTCTCTTTGCACTAAAAACTTAAACACGACCACCTGCGAGTGAAGGCAGCGAAGGTAGCGAAGAGTGACAGCTTTTGCAAAAATATTGGAGTGAATATTTGCTGTTTATTCAATATTGAGGCGACACGTTATGATAATTCAACAACGCTTGAAGACGTGGTGTTTTTGGAGCATTTTAAAATAAGAAGCATAACTTCGTCATACATACAGATTTTCAATTCAGTTTTACTTACCTGAAACTAAAAAAGGCAGGCAGCAACATGCATACCATGAAATATTCAAATCGTAATTTTTGGTAAAAGCATAATTGTTCGAAATGTGCCAAATCATTGCCTTTGGTCAGTTACCTCCTTAATAGTTAACGACAGATGTTACTGCTCTGAACTGAATATAATCATTGGAAAAGGCTTTGAGCACTAAGTGACATTTGTTGAGGAAGCCTCATTTTAAAGAGAGACAATATTATCATTCGAGTTCCTTTATCATTTTGTACTCTTTTCACACGTCAGAGAAGCACCCCCTCGCCATCTTTTCCTCTGGGTCAAAAGATATCTTTTTACTACACAAGCTGCTATATTTGATTTTGAACGCATTAATAAAAATAGCAACATCCTGAGCAGGTGCGCATTTTTGGAAAAAACCAAAGGTTTCATAATAAAAATTATCCTAAACCGTGCACCAACATGGCTACACTCTTTGCTCACCACAAAAGCTTGGCTGCGGAGCTTGCGCACTAGCTGTGCCCAAAGGAAGGGCTAAATACCAGTCTCACGTAAGTCTAGTTGGGTACGTGAACTTTCCCCATTTGCCCTTTATTAAAGTCTGGCTTCAAACTAAGTCAACTGGGGCGCTCCACGGGGTACTGGAACAAGGTTATAGTGCATAGTCTAGGGTATTACAAGTCTATAGCGGAAAGCAGGTTGTGGTTACGACCAAGGAAGCTTTTGAAAAGGCTACGAAAGAAACGCTGGAGGGCAAAATAAAATCTAGCTGAAATCATAACACGATGGTAGAATTACTAGACGTAAAAACGAGTGCAGAGGGGATCCTGAGACAGTTCTTTTTCGATGAAAGGACTTCATTTTCGCTGCGATGCTACTCTTCTTGTACAATTTTGGATGGCGATATGAATGACTATGGGTCAAATCAGTGCCAGGGACACTCTTAAGATTGCTCTTGTATTAGTACATGTTGCTGATTATGGTTCTCCACCAACATAGCTCAATCCTTTTCTAGATAGGCATATGCAGTGGCTCCACCCTCTCAAAGAACCTTATAGTTTTGAAAAGGCCGCTCATCTTAAACAAATGTAAATCAAACCAAAACATGAACTGCATTTTTGCTTCGGGAAAGGGGGTGGGGGAAGATCTATGAGCGTCTGATGTAACATTTGAGCAAATGTTGTCTGCAATATCTTCATTAGGTGTTAAAATTCTTTTTGCAGGTGGTGAACAAATCCAATCAAAATGCCGTCCGGAAATGGATTAGGTCCCAACGTGAGGGACAATGCCGATGGAACCATCTGTGTCGAGTATGAGCCCAAACAGGAGGGTCGCCATGAGGTGCTGATGGCTTTTGATGGCACAGGCGTGGACGGTGAGTTTCGCGGGTCTTATTCATTCATTCATTTTTTCAATATCTTTTTACTTTGTATTTGTGTGTATGTGTGTTTGTTTGTTTAGATCTGTCTTTCCTTGTTTGGATAATAACTGTGGTCACTATCATGGAATACCCAGAGAACTGTCCAAATTTTGTAGTAACGGTAAGAGGAGACGAGCAAATCAAGGCCTGCAGGCCAGATCCGTCCATGAGCAGTTTCTCACTGGCCGAGGAGAAGGGCCCATTAATGAATACTTATTAGTGTGGTCGGCGATGAGTTGATAATTAATAAAAGCCAAATTGTCCTTCTCGAAAATAGACCTGAACAGTTTCCACCTCAGCTGGAAGCAGTAGATCCAATATTATGTCTCATGAAACGTTTGAAATATCATATACTTAAACTTCATCTCCGTCTTTCCTTTGCGATATGGAGTCCCATACAGCCAAGATTGGCACTGGTACGCAAGGTTGAGGCACCTTAGACCCTGATGATCTGAATTACGTTGAAGGGAGCCTAAAGCGTTTATATTTTTCTCGGGGAAATACGCAACAGTTATAAATCTGAAATGTGAGCATTAGGGGAGAACCATATTAACGCCCGACACCGACAGTCAGACCAGACCCGCCGTTTTCCGTCGGGTTCGGCCGACCATATTAACACCGGAGTTTGGCGGTCAGACACCGGAGTTTGGCGGTCAGACACCGCCGTCTTGCAAATATGGCATGTGGTAGAAGAAAAAAAATTATAGTTATTGTTGCTTTTGAGACGCAGATAAAAAATGAAAACCAAGACAAGAAGATTTTCCGTGCTTCCCTTCCAAAGAAAGCGTGATACACTATGTGAATTTCATCATTTGTTTCCACCGTTTTTGGAAGATGGGTGAAATTTCCAACAATACTATCGCCTGAAACATAGCAGTTTCAATGAACTGCTATATATATATATATATATATATATATATATATATATATATATATATATATATATATATATATATATATGCAGAGCTGACAAGAACTGCTAGAATTCTGTGTCGTGTCATTGAGGCGGGAAAGGGGACACAACTTTGCAGAGATAACATCATTAAAATTACCTACCATCTCGCCCGACGGACCGTCTTCTATAGAACATGTTTTATCGGAGACGGTCTGACCGGGGACGACGCAGGACGTCGGGGGTCAGTATGGTAGCCGAAACCGTTTTTGTTACCTTCCATTACTAAAGAGCCGGTGTGCTTTCTTTTGTGCCCGAAGACGGTCTGGTCTGACCGTCCGTGTCGGGCGATTAATATGGTTGCCGCCTTACACTTACCAGGGGAAAGGCGAAGTCAGATTGCTCATGCTTCGCCTTTTTCTTTTTCTCTCTTCTCTCTGTCTTTTGCCTCTGCTCTCTCTCTCTCTCTCTCTCTCTCTCTCTCTCTCTCTCTCTCTCTTTCTACCCCCCTCTCTCTCTACCTCTCTCTCTTTCTCTTTCATTTTCGCTCTGTCTATCTGTCTGTGTGCCCCACTCCCTGTCTGTAAGCAATCAAAGCGCTTTAACTTATCTATGAGACGCGTGCACAAAGCAAGAACCGCCGAACGTGTGAGAGTTGCCTTGCCAAAAGTTTTGGTCCGGTCAGAGGTCGGTGTAGACTCATAAAAAATAGGAACGAAAATCAGCGAAGATAATGTACTGCAGAGCACCTACGTCATCGCTTAGCCTCGTTTACTTCATTTTTGTCCTTGTTAGAAAACGCGCCAATGGCTTTCCGCATCGTGTGCTCGCTCGCTGCTTCCGTGTAATGTGAAAGGTAAACTGGATGTGTAAGAGTCTTTACATTCTGGGGGAGGAGTTAAGGTGTGAGTTCTCGTGTTCACCGGATAATGATAATGTGCAGTTGCTGCAGGGTTGTTGCTGGCCTAATGCACACATACTCCACGTCACACGTGCTTGTACACACGGATCCACACACAAACACACACACTCATAGACATACACAAATACACATGCAAGCACGCACACATATGCACGCGCCCACATAATACTCATACTGTATAGATGTTAAAACGCACAGGAATGGCATATGAAGTAGATGATTTACTTCAAACGGTTTGATATATATATATATATATAATATATATATATATATATATATATACACGCTCTAAACGAACTAAACCGCGCGAGCCGGGGGATATCTGCCACTTTGACATGATCCTACAACAAAACAACAACAAAAAATCCCTTGGCTTTCTTCTTCTCTACTCCGTCTGGCTGGCCCACTATTGGAATAATTCCTCTTCGCATTGTGTTTCCAAACACCTATCGCTTTGGCCCTGTCGATAGGGATACCCAGCCTTCTTTAAGGCAAGGTAAACGTGAAAAGGGCTAAAGTAGATGGTTGGAGGGAACCAACCGAACGTGGGAAGAGCGAGGGTGGGGAGGATTTGTTGCGGGGGGGAGGAGTCAGACAGACACGCGCCTGTCTAGAGCACGAGTCAGACAGTAAACATCTCAGTCCGCTTGTAATTGTTTCTTGCTTAGCTTTCGAGCTGTACCCTTTCGACTCTAATATTCTAGAATTACGATTTTACGCGATTCGCATCTATTCGAAGCGTGGCAGAGTCGATCGAATGACGTGTGATTTTTGTGGAGAAAGGCTTTGTTGTCTTATTCTGCTCAACCCGTTGTTACATTCTTCTCCTTCTAGGCGTTGTCCATCCAAAGTAAGATGCAGCCCTCCTACAATGACCTTCACTCTTTTCTATCTGCTGTTCCCCATGATATCCAGGTGGTTTTCTTCCGTTCTCTGATGTCATCTTGTCACTTTTTGTCACTTTTTGATTTTTTTAGCATCAGTCTAGGGATGTCTGGCATTCCTGCTGTCTTTCTTATTTTTTGTGTGCTTCATTTGATCTTGTATTTTAAATTTCATTGCTCTTTGCGTTGTCCTTATTTCTTAATGGAATATCTGGTAATTGGCCAGATTTGGCATCCGAGGCCTAACACTAGAACAAGGCACGTCGTAAAATTAAAACATAAAATTATGTCTGACATCATTGAGGTAAACACAACTTGGTGAAAATAGGTTGGAGTGAAACGTGGAGAAACCATGGGTTACAAAATTTGCCTCTAAAAATTATTGATTATTATTCAATAATCACAAGGCACTCTATGGACTACTGACAGGTCCGTGATTCTCGAATATCGAAGCACAGCGGACGGTTCTGCTTGAAATTAACGGTACGTAGGTGCAATGAGCGCTCTTACTGGTGGACTTATATCTAGGCTGTCTTAGATTTGAGAAAGCCTTGACTTATATTATGTATGTGAAAAAAAACCCACCCCAACAGAACACTGTTTTCGAATAGCGCAAATAGTGAATTATCTCTCCATAGCGTCAACAAAGTTTCTTTTCCTCAAAATAACTCAACACTGCAGAGCGAAAGGCCAGAGATAAGCCAATCTGTTTCGTGACCGCTTTTTGTGTTTTCTGTCTTGATTTGGTCAGTATTTGTTAGGTTGAAATAATGTGTTCTAATGCAAATAAATGCTATAAATGTAGTACAAAATCAGCCGTTATGTATTCACATCATTTTTATACTTGAGTTTCGCTCAGTTGTCTGTGTGGTTAAGTACTGGGGGCTTACTGCAATTAGTCAGGTATTCAAAACCAATGCTTTTTCTCAAACTCATACTGGGCGAAAAATAAACAACACAACCCACAGACACACTACCGTGCACTTCCGTGTTGGAGAGAAGAGCCTATTGGTAACTATAAAAATGGACACTTCTTTATTTAGTTTACTTTTTTCAGGACAAGAGCCTCTCAGCCCTAAACGTTGGTGGGAAGCGGGTAATACATTTTCATTTTGCTTTTTATGGGGGCAAAAAAGACGTATACACCCTACCAATAGATGGTGGAAATCAGCGATTCTTTCAGGCAGAGATAAGACAAACCATCTGCCAGGTGAGGCTTGACAGGTCATCCATCTCTGTCTCCCTTAGCCGTACCCCACAGAACGCCACAAGTTTTCTAGAAAGTTCTGCCATGGCCCCTTTCGCCTATTTACCCCTAACAATTCTTGGGGCGCAATTTCAGCATATTATTTATAACCTATGGAAGCACCATTCATTGGGTTGGAATGAAGGGGTATAGGCGTGGGGGGTAATGCCCCCCCCCCCTCATTATATACTAAATGAAATAGAACTTCTCTAGTGGTGGAATAACATAATTAATTTATACAAAACTATGCCAGGCGTGTTTGGTATTTACTTTAACGTATCCACCTTTTATCCTTTTTTTTCTTCCTGATGCTTTTCTCTGTCCAACCTGCAAAATGGTCTTCTTTCTTTGATGACTTATCTATGTCTTGCAGGGTAAGAACACAAAATATAAACTGCTGATGCATGTGCGCTTTGAAGATACAAAACCTTATTTCTAAATCAAATGATACGCAGTATAATTGTGTTTTGATCAAGAACACATTTTGGGTTAAGAAAAAGGAAATGCACATAATGTGTAAACGGAATATTAATTTTCGAGAATTATGGTATTTTTCTTTTAATGAAAACGTGTTCCAGGTATATAAATGTTCCACAGATTGCACGTTGTAGAGCCAAAGAAAAATACGCTAGTGCTCCATTACAGCAAGATTTTAGGATCTTGGATAATGTGGAATGAGGTAATTAAGACGTTGCAGCTCAGGTGGAAATGAAGATGCGCCTATATGAACTTTGTCAGCCCTCTCGGAAAAGGCCTTTGGAGAGCCATTGCCATTGTTCAACTTCTTTTTGATCGCATACAAAAGGAGTTTAATTTTTGTACAGTAATTTCTTAGATGGTATGCTAATCCTGATCTATACTTTGGTTAACCGAAGGTTAGCAAATTGTTCTCTCTGGAGCCAATCCAAAGGCAGGGAGAAGAAACTTGAGCCACAACAGACGGTTTTGTGTGCCCGCAAGGCCAGGGGTTTGCTTGAGCTGATGTTTCAACTGTTTATAACATGTTCAGGT